CACCTATGTTATCTCCTCCCATGTGAAAGTAAAACTGGAAACAGGCATAGGTAGCTAAAACACATTTAAAGAATTAATGAAAATGTTTGACATAATATATTGAATGCTAGAAGTAAATAAAAATGATTAAATGGAAATTATTTATTTTTTAATGTCATTGTTAAAAGGTGAAGATATAGACCTAGCTGTTAAGCTAAAATATTCAGTTGGTCCTAACTGAAAAAACCCCCAACAAAATACTGAATAATAGATACAATTGTTTTTGTTCTCATAAGTAAGCTCAAATAAAGCGGTTAAATACATAATAATTTAGTTGTGAATATGTTCTGTTTTGAAAGTTGTGCTGTTCAATCTTTGATATCCATGTACGGGTACTGTGGAATTATCTTCTTCTCAGTTCACAAATTTTTGTGGATTTCCTGAGCCCCCCCCCCCCCCTTACCCATGAATTAACAACTCCACAAACATTTACTTTGTCATTGTATCGATTCATTAAATCTTTTGGGTATACGAGTTACCCATGAAATAACGTCATCACAAACCAGTAGAATTTTGGTTGTCCACGAACATTGACCCTAAAAAATTTAACAATCCCACGTTTCATCTTATTTGTATTATCTTTAAATTTATACAACCATTCATAATCAAGACCAACTCTTTCGAAATACAAAATTCTAATGAGCTCATTTTTTTTTAGAATAGTTCATTTTCGTTTGAATGCCAAACTTTTGCAAAATTATTTTAATATATAATAATTATAAATATATTATAATAAGACACTATATTACAAATAGAACGCTGCAAATTTTCAAGTTCCTCTAAAAAAATCTTCATAATACTTTAAATGTAACAAACGTCGTGGTGTGAGCATCGTTGTTGCTTATATATATATATATATATATATATATATATATATATATATATATATATATATATATATATATATATATATATATAAGATTTCTTTTTGGTTTTGAAAACAAAACAAATTCTGATGAATAATGTATATTTCACAAATATTGGAAACATATCCGATGCTATTTCACTGAAAACACGTCCAAGATTTGCTGCTTTTGGACCAATTACATGTAAATCTCATAGGTGAAAATAATTTTAAAAAAAGAAAGGAAGGGTAACATTATATTCGAAAATGTTTTGACCGCATAGCCGAAAATTATGAAAAGTGATCAGAGGAATTTTTTGGTTACTGTGCATTAAAATCAGTGTTCAAAATTACTGTATGACGTAACGTAGGGAAATTGGTAAAAAGTCGAAAACACGTGCATATTGATGATGACAGGTTTTTCAAAACATCTCGTATACGTAGTACTACCTTATGCACTTGAGGTTTACACATCGTCTTTCGATATTTGCAGACGATGTGATCTTCTTGCAATCAAGGTAAGGTTGAAGGAAGTTTCATTGGGTCTGGCTACTACATTACCTAAGTAAGAATGTAAATCACACCAATTTTGATGCACCAGATGCACATTTCAACAAATTATGTCTCTTCAGTGACACTCATGCCGAAACGTTGGAAATCCGAAATATCTATAGAAAAAAGACTTTGAAGAGCTGTTAAAAGGGTACTAAAGACAACAACAGATGAATTTTTCCATCATAGAACATCTTACCCGTCGTCAGAGAGGGCATAGAAATGTTTCCTATTAACTATACGCGTGACGATGGCGTTGACGCGCAACAGCGCCACGTCAAGATGGAACTATTCACCCTAACACCTGCATTATCGTCAACTAAAATTGTTATTAAAACAGTAGACAATCATATAGCCATTTACCCAAAAACTGAAAAAAACAAAAAAAAACAAATGCGCGATTTTGGTTTAAGAGCTCATCAACTTTACGTTGATGTTTCTTTCACTCGCTCATGCGTGCGTTGTTTGCCTAATTTTTTCTGCATGTTAAATGTCGGCCCAATGTACCCAAGGGTTGGTGAGACTTTCTAGCAAATAATCACATTAACCCACTCGACTGGTCTCCGTAAAATTCATTTTTTTTTCGCGTAGAACATCTGTGGGACTATATAGACAATAGGGTTCGAAATGCCCAAGCTGATCTCGATCTCGATCAATTATGGTCTCTTTTGTCGGAATGACTGAATAATATCCCTCTTGGAAGGATGAACTCCTTGCAGAGGAGAATCAAGGCTGTGACAGATGTGTGAGGGAGACATGGGAAATAATGAGAATTTTCAATTTTCACAATTTTCCAATAAATCATGAATTATCGGTCAAAATCAAATGAGATTTTGGTTACATTTGATTAAAGGTGATTTTAAATGTTACATAGTAATACTGGAAAATACGTCTGAAAAAAAAAATCATTTTTTGACCTAAAAATTTACTTGGCGTTTCTTTATCCTTTCAGTATATATTCGTTTCTTCGATCAACGTAGGTAACATTATACTGCCTAACTGAGGGTCTCTGCATGTAGGTATTTTACACTAAATTGCAAAAAATTGTCACATCTTTCTTACATGTTCTTTAAATTTTTGCGAGATTTGAATCGAAATTCAAACTGCTGAGCAATCAAGCACAGTCACTCATGACTTTTTAAAACTTCGCTTCTCATTCACCAAAGCCAAGCATTAGACATGGAACACGTATCAAAATCTGCACACTGTATGTAAAATGATTTCTAAAATTCAGATATCTCTAGTAACCAACCTGATTCATTAGTCACCACAATTTTGTGTTGGGCATTATAATATTTTTTTTTTGAGAATATGATTATTATAGATGACTATCATAGATTCTGACACATTTTGTCATCACGGATGTTATACTAAATAAAGAAATAGATGGCAAACTATCAACTTAACTTTATAACGTGTTGACTTTTTTCTATCATCAACAATTCTTACTTGTGCAGCAATATACATGTACCATTTTCACTTGCATATGGAGTTTATTTTTCTCGCTTGAATCAAAAACGAGGAAAGCTATTGGAAATTAAGAAAATGAAGATATAAAAATATCACCAACTTCTTTTAATTCAACATTTCGCACTTGTTATAATGGTCAGTACACTGACCTTGTTTGCAAATACAAATCTGTCATTAGGTCGAATGCTAAATGACATTTTTCTTATTAATTGATGGGCCATTACTTTTTCACTGAATGGATTTTTCAATTTCCGATTACGGCAGATGTGACTGGTTGACAGGGTAAGCTAACTTCTCTATGAAGCTGTGTAGTCTCTAGGTAAAGCTACGATCTTTAACGTTAAGCTGAGAGCTAGCAGAACTGGGATTTAATTCTACCAGTGGAAATCCTACTTATACCCATAGCTCCCTTTCTAAGGAGGAAATTCTTCAAAATCATTTGTCTGTTTTGAATATTTTTAATATTCCCAACAACCAAAATGAATTCGAATTACCATATCTATATTGGATTCCGAAACTTCATAAAAATCCTTACAAACAAAGATACATAGCGGGCTCCAGTAAATGTTCTACCAAGCCTCTTTCTTTACTCCTCACCAAGATATTAACAGTCGTGAAAGAGAAACTTCAAGAGACCGTGCAACAATATATTTGAGAAGTGGAGAAGTGGTTTAAATCAGATGTGGATACTAAAAAATTCCAAGTAACCTTTGGAAATCACAAAATTTTACCAAAATCAACAACATAAGAATTGGGACTTTTCAACTTTATATACAACTTTTCTTCATGAAAATTAAAGTCCAGACATTCTGACATCGTTAACAGCCGCTTTTGCAATAAAAATGGAACTTGTAAATTTACTTACCTTGTCATTGGTCATTTGCAAAATCACTTTGTTAAAAACAATCTGATTGTACATACAAGTACTCTATAGTTTACATTAAAAGGATGCTCGAGTTTGACAACATCTATGTGTTTTTTTTTTTTTAGATCAGGTCTTCCAAAAAATCTGTGAGGCCATTATTTACACACTGAATTGTCGAAGGATTTTTCCGTTATTTCCCGATCATGACAAGGAGTACACGGCGGTGTGACCGGTCGGCAGGGGATGCTCACTCCTCCGTGGCACCTGATCCCACCTCTGATGTCTTAGAGGTCCGTGTTGTTCTGCTTCTATTTTGTAATGTTAAATGGATTTTTGAGCTCGAATACTGTTCGTTATTTCCATATATTTCATGCTAAGTACCAAATCCAAGATATTTGTTATCTTCAAATTTCATCATAAGAAAAATTAATATTAATGTTTATTATTCAAAGCAAATTTTACTCGAAAAGCCAAAGCGACATACTGAAATTTAAATTGGAAACTGGTATTTTCATTACTCCTTTATTGCCAGTGGATTGCGAGGATGCTTCTGTATACACGTAGTATATCCCCTCTTTTGCCCTGTAAGGACCTGTGTTATAACTAGGTGTCCCATTCTGTAAAAGTTTTATTTTCATTCCATAATTCAGTGAAAGTTAAGCAGAATAACATTCAGAATTCGATGTAAACACTTACATAGTGTTTCGTCCATTGCATTAATCCATAGTTCTTAATCGAACATGTTTCAAAATCTGTTTCAAACGAACAGGAATACAATACGTCTGTGACATCTGTAAAAAGAATGTGCATCAATTAGGCCATGATCATGATAAGACGCAAATGAGCCTTGACAATCATCTCAAGACGATGGAGCAACTGCTTTCCCAAATTTTCTCTTAAAACATCAAAATTTTATTACTAAAGCAATAAATTAAGTTTCCATTCACCATGTAATTAAATATATTTTACAGGATCAGCGTTTTTTTTTTAAAAATTGTTTTAAGAAGTATGACACATAATGACGGAAAAGGAGGAACTCTTATATCTAAATATGCATAAATATGTTCTCTAATCAAGATGTTTCTTAAACAATATATATAACTAAGATCTTTAATATGATCCACATCCAACAAGTCTATTTAGTACTGTGTGTAATAATGCATTTTGTTGAGTAAAATAATTAGATATAAATGCAAAAGTTATATAATTATTTTCATACAGAGGTCAACGGTGTATCAAAATTGTTTTCCCACCTGAGCAGTTGGTTGGTTTCCTGAAAAAGCCATCATTACAGAGGCATTTGAACCCGTCACAGTACGAATTTTCGTCACATTTTATTCGTCGTTCACACGTGCAACGGGTACCTGACCATCCACTCTTGCACATGCACTCCCCAGTGTCTTTGTCACATGACAAGGAATTACTACGGTCGCAATTACAGTCATCTTCACATTCTTTTCCATATGTGAATGACGGACAATCTTATAAAAAGAAAAAAAATGCTTTAATTTTATCTTAAATATATATTGCTCTCGCTCTCTCTCTCTCTCTCTCAGAAACGAAGGAATATTACATGTCATGAAAACTGAACAGAATCCACTTTCATCTAATTACTTTTAATATCAGAAACAACTGGTATACAGCTGCAAATCCAGTTTTCAATGAAAATGAAAAGAATTACCATTTGAGCAAGAAATACCGGCGTCATCATAATAACGACAACTACTGGGATTTCTGATCCCATAGCACAACTGAATAGCATCTTCATCCCCATTGCATCCCAGTCTGGTTAAAAGAATCGTTCCTGATCCTGGTGCATAAGTTTTTGCTTCAACAGATCTCCTACAAAACATGACAAAACAATATAGCTTAATGATTTTTTTTTATGACTGTGGTATTAGGTTTTTCTGTGGACTTCAATCCTCATAAAATGCGATGTTTAAATAGCTTATACATGTACGAAAGACTATTTTTTCCCATAGATTTCATTTTTATTAGAAAAGTTGCAACATACTTTCAATCAGACATATTAAAAACAGGATAGATCAACATACCAAAAATCAGCAAAATATATGTAGAAAAAATCGGAAACCCTAAGTGAAACATATAAAAAGGCGATATGCATTTATCTACAGAGAGAGTACAGGTATATCACATCCAACATTGCACACTGCCAGTACATGGAGAGAGAGAGAGAGAGAGAGAGAGAGAGATTTATGGGTATTAAGAAAAAACGGCTTTTGATAGCACTTTTCCTTTTATTTTTTTCAATTAATGGTGTACAGTTAAGTGCTATGGAAAGCCTAGAAACTCCCAGGGCTTCGATTTTGAAGCACGATATATGAGTGTACAAAAAGTAAATACTTTTAGCTTTACGTAAGAAAAATGTACAATTATTCTGATTCTCTTAGATGATGAGGGGAAAATAAAACTCATTATATATATATATATATATATATATATATATAGAAAGCACAAAGAAATTCACTTTTTATAAGAATACCCACTTCCGGCCCAGCCCGGGGTTGAACTCTCGACCAACGGAACCTGTCTCCTAGCAGTACAGGAACAGCGCGCTAGACCGCTCGGCTATCTAGGCAAGTCAAAAAACTTGCTTTCGATGCCGATGGAATTCTCGCGGCGCTGCCGTACACTACACGGTCATTCTCAATATTTCTATATTAATATTTCTTCACTTAGGGCAGTTATGTTAGTTTAAGAGTTGCTGTAAAATGTGCTTTATATATATATATTTATATATATATATATATATATATATATATATATATATATATATATATATATATATATATATATATATATATATATATATATACACTTAAATAAATGAAAACAGAATGCTACAGTCCAAATTAAATAAAATCTTTACTGTTAGCGCTTTCAGCCATGTTGGCTCTTCAGACAGTTATGAAAAGTTCAAAACGTCGCCAATAACGTTACTAATGACGTCGTAAAAATCTTAGGTATTATGACGTCACAATGAAGTTTGTGGTAGCGGCTACATGAACTTTTTCAACGCAATTAAAATACAATGTATAATTAAAGCAAGAAATAATATAAAATCTGTGAACACATAATCTATCATTTGCGATTAAACAATCGCAATATTCTAAACTTTAAACAATATTCTAAATTCAGCGAAACGATTTTTTCCAACATTAGAACAATCTGAAAACATGAAAAATCTTCTGGACAAATCGTCAATAATTAACAGCAGAAGACAAGCACCAAACCTGAGGCGGATTTTAACCAAAGCGAAATTTTCCTCTAGCAACCAGAGAGTCGTCAAAAAGTGTGGTGACCCCCGATGTGGAACGTGTGATTTCATTCAGGAGGGCGAACATATTACACTTAAAAACGGGAAAATTTTAAAACCAAATACCAGTATGAATTGTAAATCTTCAAATTTGATTTACTGTGCAATATGCCCTACCTGTGGAGAACATTATATAGGGCAGACAAATCAACTCAACGCACGAGTTAGGGTTCACAAACAACATATAAGGGACGAAACTGTCAGATGCACCCCATGTTCAGAACATTTTGCTGAGTGTGGTAAAGGAAAATTTCAGATTTTCCCGTTCTACAAAATGTGGACATCGGATGAAAGCGCCCGTGTAACCAAAGAGGACTATTTTATAAGACTGTTTAATCCAAAACTAAATCGCAAATGATAGATTATGTGTTCACAGATTTTATATTATTTCTTGCTTTAATTATACGTTGTATTTTAACTGCGTTGAAAAAGTTCATGTAGCCGCTACCACAAACTTCATTGTGACGTCATAATACCTAAGACGTCATTAGCAACGTTATTGGCAACGTTTTGAACTTTTCATAACTGTCTGAAGAGCCAACATGGCTGAAAGCGCCAACAGTAAAGATTTTATTTAATTTGGACTGTAGCATTCTGTTTTCATTTATTTAAGTATTTTTTACTGTACCAAGAATTTAACTTATCAACGTATATATATATATATATATATATATATATATATATATATATATATATATATATATATATATATATATATATATATATATATATATATATATGAGTGAGGAACTGATATATCTCACCCTAGGGAATATTTTTTGCAGGGTAGGCCTCGACAAACCTCTTCAAAGAAAACAAATAGAATTTATCATTTCTTCACTCATATTTATGGATAATTCATATGATTTCTCATGTGTGCTTTATACGAGATATCTCATCACCCATTTATCGTACAAAAAGAAGAGAAAACTATTTTACTTACGTGGGTAGACCTAACTGTCGACATGCTACTCTGGCATCCGATTCTCCAAAACGTTGGCTACAAACTCTGCCCCAGGATCCACTTTCGTCAAGTTTGATCTCTAGACGACCATTTGTCCGGTCTGTACCATCTCTCAGTCGAATTATATTCGATTGATTGACTGAAGTTGAATGAAGCATCTAATTGATCATCTTTTACTACTTTAAATTAAAAAAAAATACTTTAACACAATAAATATATAAAGATTTTATTTAAAAAAAAACTCTACCACATACTACTCCTGCATCATCAGAGTGGTCACATGAAGATCTAGTGAATGAACATTTTAACAAATCATTCTCATCTCCTTTACAGGCAAATTTGTCTACATGAATAGGACCAACTCCTTTTCCAAAAGCAGCATTCTTCATTGCGATACCAGAACTAAACACAGTGTAACAAAAACGAAATATTCCTCTTTCCTCAAGAAAACAAGAGGCCCATGGGCCACAACGCTCACCTGAGTCAATATGGCCTTGCTGTTCTTCGTCATCAGATTTCAAATTCCCCCTTTATATTCATATGTAAAGCTTTGATCAAGTGTTCTTGAATGAAATTGAATCTAAACTTTCTGAGGATGCTTCTATATTTATATAACTAATCATGGCTTTGCTGTTCTTGAAAACGGAATTTTAAAGAAGTCTGACACCCTACCTGGGGGGGGGGGGGGGGAGTCATGACTTGAACAAACTTGAATCTACACTACCTGAGGATGCTTCCATATCAATATGACTAGTCATGGCTTTGTTGTTCTTGAGAATAAGATTTTTAAAGATATTTCCTCACGGACCTCTCAGTTGATTCGATACGCAAGAGCATGCCCTGCGTATGTACAATTTCTAAAACGAGGTAAATTATTAACAAACAAGTTGATGAAACGAGAATATCAGAAGTCTCGTTTAAAGTCATCATTTCGTAAGTTCTATGGTCGATACAATGACCTTGTCAGCAAATACAATTTATCTTTGAGTCAAATGCTGACTGACGTTTTTCATATTAATTATTAGGCCATTATTTACACACTGGATTGTCGAAGGATTTTTCCGTTATCTTCCGATCATGACAAGGAACACACGCCTGGTGTGACCGGTCGGCAGAGGATGCTCACTCCTCCATGGCACCTGATCCCACCTCTGATGTTTTGGAGGTCCGTGTTTGCTCTGCTCCTTTTTGGTATTGTTAAATGGACTTTTGAGCTTGAATACTGTTCGTTATCTTCATATATTTCATTCTTATATATGTTTTTTTTTTTGTAAAACTTTGATCCCCCATTATGACCCCACCGTACTACTGGAGGATGCCTTGAACAAACTTGAATCTACAATACTTCGGGATGCTTCCATATCAATATGACTTTTCATGGCTTTCCTGTTCTTCAAAAGATTTTTTAAAAGATTTTTCCTATATATTCCAAAGTAAAACTTAGATCCCCCATTGTGGCCCCACCCTACCCCATGGGGTCATGATTTGAACAAACTTGAATCTACACTACCTGAGGATGATTCCATATCAAAATGACTAACCCTGGCTTTGTTGTTCTTGAGAATAAGATTTTAAAGATTTTTACTATATATTCCTATGTAAAACTTAGATCCCCCATTGTGGCCCCACCCTACCCCATGGGGTCATGATATGAACAAATTTGAATCTATACTACCTGAGGATGATTCCAGATCAATATGACTAATTGTGGCTCCCATATCAGTATGATTGGTTGTGGCTTTGTTGTTCTTGAGAAGACTTTTAAAGATTCTTTCCCGTATATTCCTATGTAAAAATTTGATCCCCCATTGTGGCCCCACCCTACCCCGGGGGTCACGATTTGAATAAATTTAAATCTACACTATGTAATGAAGGTTTCACATAAGTTTCAACTTTTTCAGCCCAGAAGTTTTTGAAAAGATTTTTAAACGATACCACCCAAATTTTCACTAATTTTTTAATTATCTCCCCTTGAAAGAAGGCGTGGCCCTTCATTAGAACAAACTTGAATCCCCTTTACCCAAGGATGCTTTATGACAAGTTTGGTTGAAAATGGCCCGGTGGTTCTGGAGAAGAAGTCGAAAATGTGAAACGTTTACAGACGGACGACAGACAAAATGTGATCAGAAAAGCTCACTTGAGCTTTCAGCTCAGGTAAGCTAAAAACTAAGATATCTTTATTACGCTTTAAATGCGCGGAGAGAACAAAATTTTAATAATTTAGAATGTAGAAGAAATGTAGAAAAAGATAATAAATAATATAAAAAATGACAGTGATTTCTAAAAGCATATAAAACTACTTCATAAATTATAAACTGACTTTCCAAGCCCTAGTTGTTTGCAAACAACTGTTGCGTCATTATCATCCCAGTTTCCGTCACAGACTGTGGACCATATGCCTTCGGTGACCACTTCTACTCTGCCCATGTTTGTTGTGTTTCCATTCACCAATCTTACACCTGATGGAGAGGGCAGGGAGGCAATTATGTTACTGAATTTTAGTTTTTCCAGTTGACACCATCATTAAGAATGTTTTTTTTTTAAAATTAGGTTTCATTTGAAATGTAGAGTTATAATGTTATATATACTGTGAAATCACTGATTTTCATGGGGGTTTAATTTTCGTTTTTCGAGATATGAAGAGATCCTCGAATTCGGAAATAAGACTTTCATATACATAAGTACTCAACTTTTCCCTACCTAGAAAATCAAATCACCGAACAAATTTCTTTCTGCAAACCTCGAACATTTAATCCCACGAAAATATGTGCTTTCACAGTAATTTATACCATAAGTTAATTTGTTGCCAATCTATAAGATATATTACAAAATAAAAGACGATCTATCACATTTAATTACTTATATTCAATTTCTTCATTTTAAAACAGTAATTCATATTTATAAAATGCAACCATATCCATATTTTAAACTGTACAGAGTTGTGAAGTATATTTTTAAATGAAAATGGAGTTGAAAAACAGCTTAGAATAAAAGAGTTACCACGGAGACAGGGTTTTCCATTAGCCTCACACTGACAGGCATCTCCAGTAAATCCTTTTTTACATAGACACGCACCGGTGGTTTTGTCACAGGATTGTGTGTGCATTCGGACACAGGCGCATTTGTCACAGTTTTGACCAAATGTCCAGTTTGAACAAACTAATAAGCCAAATATACAACATATATGATAGTTTTGATTATATGTTCAATAAATTAAATTACTTTCTTTGTTATGTTCAACATACCATTTAACTTAATTATTTTAAAAAATTCATCGATATAGAGTAACATTCTCTCACCACATCTGGACCCTGCTACGATAATTCTGTCAATAGCAGTCCTCTCCTCCATTCTGATCTTTATCTATATTATAAAATAGATTTAATTGCATGGGAAAAAGATAAAATATTTACTGTGAACACATTCATTCAGAATTATTGATTTTTTTCTGTTTATGTCCCGTTCGAGAATTTTTCAAACATATAGGGACGTTTACATATGCCGGTGAAGGATTTTAAATTTAAACATATACTTGGCTCTCATTCAGGATCATTGAGCCTGCATTGACACAGGGCCACGGTTTTATCCGAAAGATCATCAAATTTCACTTTATAGTTTCGAGCGCATGGCGAAGGAACAGTTGCTACCTTTTTTCATCGACTTAGGTCAGTTGCAGCCGGAGTTTGAACCCTTAACCGATCACGGAGTGAGCGCTCTACTGACTGAGCTACAGAGACGGTAATTCATTTGGAGGTGATACATGTATGTATCACTTATATAATCAATTATATAATCACTTGTTGTAAGTCATTTATATCGTTAAAAAACTTTCATATAACCTGAGAAAATCATGATATATATATTGTCCAATTCAATTTTCCCGAGCTTTTACGTTATACTATGACATAATGGATTTATTCCTTCCCTGCAAAGACACTCATGACTTCATGACGTCATAGTTAACGTAACCAAGCAAAACAAATCAGTTCAAAGTATGCACACCTGTTGTTAAATTGTTAAATCCAGAAAGCGCTTGTGTTAAATGAAATTTGGAAACTGTGCATTTTCTTTTTCTTTTATGATTTATATATATATATATATATATATATATATATATATATATATATATATATATATATATATATATATATATATATATATATAAGAATGTGTGATTACACGAAAATAAAAGAGAAACTTGAAATTGGAAGAAAAAAATTATCAGGTCACTTATTGAATCTCTTTTAAAAGTGATCTACCTTATGTATAAGTTTTTTTCCATTTATTTGCGTGTCTTTGGTTGTCCACTTCTGCTGTGACCCAGACAGATCTGCTACCGTAGATTCCAAGTGCGAAATGTCTATTGTGGAGATCCTTATTGATCCTCGTCCATAAAGGAAGTAGTCAAAATAAAAACAGAACTGCTTTCCTGAAGAAAAATGCAATTGTTGGTAGAATTATAAGAAAAATGCATGCTTAATCATAATTAGCATACAATTGAACAAAATGTGTGAGTTATACTTACCTGTCATAAATATACACACATTAGGACCCTTAATTATTAACGTTCATAACCCGCGTAAACGCAGTACAGTTAAGGTGCGCAATGGAAATGTATTCATAATCAGGATGGCGATTATTTTTAGTACATTATTTATATCAGACAATTGTAATTATGGTTAATAACTACATATTGAGGACGATTAGATTTTATATTTAGACTTGTCACGTGATGCCGGCAGTCACGTGATTTTAGCACATTTACTTGCAGTATTGAGGTCATCTATCAATTTCACTAGTGCAAGGGCATAACCAAGTTAAAATCCTAAGTTTAGTTTATAAATATTTTCATCACGTATTGTTGTTTCTGAAAAGTGCTGCGATCCTATCTAAATTCTGCTATTTCATTGTTAAAATCGTATTTGTATGACTGAATGCTGTATTTTTTTGCTGGTCAACGGCATTAAATATAGATATAATTAAATTATTTTCAAGATTTCATCAGGATCGCAGCACTTTTCAGATACCTTAATACTTCTAGAGTTGATTTGTAAAAGCTTACTATGATCCATTGAGTGTATGCCCTTGCACTAGATCGATTTATTAAGACCATTATCCTCCGATGTACTTGCATACATATATACGGCAGTATCAATTAAATAGGAAATATATGAAAAATATATTAATAAAATCGTAAAGAAGACACTGAATCCAAGTTAATGGCCTATGAAATATCTGTAAATAATATTTTATTTAATTATAGAATATATTTTTTCGTTGAGAAAATATACTTGATCCGCATCTCACTGCATACAAACTGCGTCAAGTTTTACGAAATGACGTCACATCGACAAGTGCATTGCGATCAGTGACTTGTTTATACCATGTTATGTGTGATTTAACTAACGACAAAACAGCATGTTGTAGTAAGTTTTGATGTAGTGTGATGGTATCCTACAGTTTAAAATAGCCAATCACCTCATTTTGTGGAATTTTTAAGAATTGTTGATTTTGTATGATGTCATAGTTATTTTTCAAGTACAAATTAGGCTCCGCCCCCTTTTTGTAGCCTTAACTGTGCTGCGAAGTGTTTAAAAAATAAGGTTCAACATTTTATAAGACCAAGATCACATCTCAAACGCTTGCCCATATTAGTTCATATAAGCTCCGAACAGAACGCTCCCAACCTATATGATCAATTGTATGTTGTTTTAAGTCCCATTCGAGAATTTTTCACTCATGTAGAGATGTCACCATACACCGGTGAAGGGCTTCAAATTTAGACCTTTACTCGGCACTCAAGGTCATTGAGCAGTTCTTTATCGTGCCAACGCATACCGTGACACGGGGACTGGGTTTTTAAGGTCTCATCCGAATGACCCCCAACTTTCACTTCAAAGCGCCGAGCGCTTGGCGAAGGAACAGTTGGTACCTATTTTTTTCGAATTAAGTCAGTGATTCGAACACACTAACTTCCGATCACGGAGCGAACGCTATACCGACTGAGCTACGTATATGAAGAATATACCTTCCAAAAAATATTTTTCTTAGGGGTGGAAAGTGGGAAAATTGACCGGTAATTAAGTATAACTCCCTCATAAAATTGAAACTTTATAACAAGTTTTTCAATTTTATTTCGTTCGTTATACTTACCACTCATAAATATACATGAAGATAAATCAGTATCAAAAGCAATTTGTAATGGATGGAGGAAAAGAAAAATTTTCTTACCTAAGAATTTGAATTTCAAGAGCAGCAATTTTTATTTGCCACTAGTCATTTTGTCCATCATATACTATGTACGTATATTGAGTGGTTCAAAACTATTGTATATACAATAAATGTTCTAACTCGCAACTCGCCGGAGATGATAACATCTCTAACAAAAAACTATTTACACATTAATCATAAAATTAATTATTTTCAGAATATTTAAAAACTTGGACACTGACACCTACATCTCTCAGATAGAAATTACAAAATCTGCAGAATCTAAAATTTACTTCATCAATGCATCATTAAAATCATTGAATAAAGCCCAAGATGGTCCCAATACTCTTGTACAACAGCCTTTTACTTTTGTGTTTGTTTTGATTAGCTATATGTATTGTCTTAACAATTCATTTTGAAATGGTCAAAGAAGTTACAGCTGATATGGCCCAAGTAAAGTCAACAATAATTTATTGCCATCTGTTGTCACATCTGATCAAAACTGTTTTGTTTTGAACTTGTTTTTGAAAATGTTTCAGAGAAAAACACTGCTTCCATCTCAATACAGTTAATTTGAAGACATTTCCCAATTTCCTTGACCTATTTGATTGTTTAGGTGACCTCCCCGTCAAGGAAACATCCGTGGTTATGGTCACCCCAGTTTCTTCCAGTTGCAAAGATCTGCACTTGGAAATCTTCACTGAATATATCCACCACTGTAGATGGTTTATTAGATGCTGTGTAATAGGAATTATTTTTCTCCAAGTCTAGAGAAAATAATTTATCATATGTATTAACAAATACGTTTTCTGTGTTGTGGTCCTAATTAAAAATTGATAGTCATTGGTTACTATTTTTATCAATAACTTTTGTAACAGGTATTCAAGTTGAGCACGATTTTCACTCATTCGAAGGGTTGTCTCTGCCTTATTTACACGTCCAAATGTCTCGTCAAGAAAATCCCGACGAACTGGAATTTAGTAAAGAAAATAAGAAAAGCGAATCTTCACCATATTTGACAGACGACGTTAGTTTATTTACAACTGTCATCAAAAATCAGTTTGTAGAACTCACTGAGAAACTATACAAACAGAGCAGTTACATAAGAAAGTGAAGGACAACATTGCCAATAAACTTAAATCAGAAGGAAATAGGATTCATTACGAATTTAACGACGACCTGAAAGAGAAGGTACTTAAATTGGAGAAAATTGCTAAATCCAAAGGTGACCAGATATCTTTGTCAATTATTAGGGAGATCATTCATGACATTGATGTTAGGAATGAACATTTTAGAATCGCCGACTCGTCCCCAGCAGGTTGGAAAACGGTTAATGAATATAAACGACATCGCAGAAGACTCGGACGATGAGAGGAAAATACGGAGTGCCCTTAGGAGCCTCAAGCAGTACCGGATTAAATACAGGCTAAAGCCGTATCGGGGCGTCTCGGGGAATTGAAACTATATGTCCGCCGCCGCTGGATCTGCCACCCAACTGACCACTCAAACCCATGTTTCTGTTGGTGCTATATGTACTCAGCCTTTTCTTGCATATCCACATTCACAACAAGTGCTTTTTCGTGGGACACAAAGAACCCCACAAGCCATCCGACATATGTTTCAAATACGAGCATTGGAAAAATAAACAACGATCTGTCAACAACACAACATAAGTGATGTGGAAGATAAGTATTTTGATATTACATGCGATTACAGTGATAACAGCATTCTTCAGTACATTGATTGAATTGATGTAATTGATAATGAAAGTGCATTTTTTGTCTTCAAAAGGCATAAAGAAAATTTGTTTTGGCATATTACGTTTTGGGAGAGCATGAACACCTATGAGTCAATTTTAAAAATCATTAGATCGGGTTATGACATTCCTTTTCTATATAACCCTCCTTCAATGTGTTTGTCTTACAATAAATCTGCATTAAGAAACAATGATTTTGCATCCACTGCTATTCAAGAGCTGCTGGCGTCTGAATGTATTGTTGAAGTTCCTTTCCAGCCATTTTTCATTAGTCTTTTAAGGGTAGCAGAAAACAAACATAAAAAGCTTTTAAGTTTGGATTTAAGTATACTAATTACATACATCAAAAAAGAACGTATAAAATTTGAAGACTGGAAAGTATAGCTTTAGAATACTTCAGGAAAGTATTTGCATAAAATTTAATTTACGATCAGGTTACCATCATTTCGATATTTCACCAAAGTCTCAAACATAGTTAGGGTTTTCATGGAATAAAAAATGGTATTGTTTTACAGCTTTACCTTTCGGACTTCAACTCGGAGTTCAGCATTTTACAAAATGCTAACGCCCTATTGTAAAATACTTCAAAGAAAAATTTCATAGACATTGTTATGTATTTACACGACGGTCTAACCTTAACAAAAACTCAGTGTTAAAATGTTGCAAAATTTATTCAAACTACATTGATTTATTTTGAAAAAAAATTTTTTCAACCTGTTCAGACGATAAAATGTCTTGGATTGATCTGGAGTTCTGTTGACGGTACTCTATTTCTGACAGACGTATTGAAGATCTTAAAACTTCATTAGAGTGTGTATAAAAAACAATGCCCAAAATTACTGCTCGACAACTGGAAACAATTACGGGAAAAAATCATTTTACTCAATCCTGTTTTTGGAAACGTCTATGGTATCGTGACACGGTTTTGTTATAAGAAAATTGTGTAAAGCTCATCGTCGAATTGTGTTATGATCTCGGAAGGATTGGAACATGTTTTGAAAGAGTTAAAATTTATGGTTGTTAAATATATATGTTTCAATCAAAAAGAAATTGTGTGAAGTTTTGGAAAAATACATCATTGTTTATTCAGATGCAAGCAATGTAGCTGCAGGCACATATACGGTTGAATTAAATAAAAAAAGTATTTCATTTAATGTGGAAAGAGCATGAAGCCAGCAAGAGTTCCGGTCCACATGGTGTGAATTAAGAGCTATTGAACAGACTTTGATTTGCTTACAAGATAAACTTACTCAAAAACTTTAAAATGGGTTATGGATAACCAAGCCTGTGTTAAAATTGTACATTTTGGGAGTATGAAATTGGATTGCAAAAGTTTTCAATGTGTATTTTTTCTGTGTGTATCCAGAGAGGCATTTGTATTGATATTCAATGGATTCCAAGACAGGAAAATTTTAAAGCCGATTATATTGGTAATATTATACATTATGAAGACTGGGGCGTTA